GATGTTCATTTACTCTCTCACACACATTGGTATAATAAAAAATGTCATAAATGAAGTATTGGATTGAAGTATGCAAGGATGGCCATGATTTTCAATCTGGAAGACTGATGTTTATAATTGTATAATTCCTAAGATTATTTCTTTGAATTATCCGCCTATATATACTGAAAATGATTATGGACAAACTGTTGTAGGTATTTTATCAAACCATTCCCAAAATGGGGTTGCATGCAGATGCCTTCCATGAAAATTTTCTACCTCCTACCTACGTTGTCAGCCTACATTAGTTGGTTTGTTTTATTTATACGGTATGACACAAATATTCTCCGTCACTCTTTCTTATCTATGTTATTAGTCTTCGCCATTTTTTTCTTTTCTTTTCTTTTCCTTTTTTTAGGATTCCTGAAGCAATTTTCGGAGCGACAGTCTGACCAGCGACAGCTTTGGGTTGGTCAGCTGACCTGACTTCGGCGAGGCCGGCTAGGAATTCCAGGACAGAGGAGACTCGTGTAACCCTAGCTTTAGTAATCCTTCATTATTTTTTTGTTCCATTTTCCATTTTTGCACGTTTTACTTGTGTCAGCGGAGTGTATCAAATTCCAAGTTCATTTAGTACTAGCAAAACATCAGATCATAGGATAATAAACCAATGATTGCAAAATCGGCTTTACTAGAATAAATACATCACTGTTGGTGAGCGGAAGCACCTATGTTTATATACAGGGCAGATCTCAGCGACGGGATCCAGGAGCCAGCGCGCCCGGCACAGGGCAGAGGGCGACGCACCGGGGTCGGACTCACCGTCAGGGCCTCAGTGTCCTGCAAAGGCGAAGTTGCCGAAGGACTCGAAGCTCTTGGGCGCCGCCTGGTGGACGACCTGGACGGTGGAGTGGGCGCCGTAACCTGGGGGGAGGGGGAGGAGGGGTCGTTAATGACACAGGTGAGAATGTTTAGAGCGCAAGGTGAAGCGGGAATGAAATAGCACACGCGCTTAAAATATGTGCATATTCGGACATATGTATACCTGTACATAACGTATACATATTTATGTATATTCACGCATGATGTACACTTTATGTGTGCGTGTGTATGTGTGTACATATACTGTATGTATACTATTTATACATATTTATTTTGCATGTATTTTTATATTTTCATTCTAGCATACATCCGTCCCAGATCTGAAAAATCATGCTTACCTCCGTGTCCACCATGACCATAACCATCTCCATGGCCACCATGGCCATATCCACTACCATGTCCACCGCCATGCCCTCCATGGCCACCATGCCCATATCCGCCTCCGTGTCCACCATGGCCATACCCTTCATGATCATCGTGACCATAATGAGCTTTGTGTCCACCGTGGTCGCCATAGGAACTCTTGTGGCCATAGTGGCCCTTGTCTCCGTAGTGGCCATCGTGGCCCGCATGGTCGTCGTGGTATTTGCCCTTCTCGTGGTGCCCCTTGTGGCCATGGGCATCGTGATGGTGTCCGCCCTGAAACAGAGGTGGCAAAAGAGTACGAATCAGATTTTATGGATTCAGAATGACCATAAGAAATAATCCAAAAGGAAACAGATTTATTGATTGCAGCCGTCAATCATTCACGAGTAAAATCAGTACTAAAGTGATGATATCATATCTACATGGCTGTACTAAGTTAATATAATAATAATTATAATGGAATCACTGTAAAGAACGTAGTCATTCATATTCTAATTGAAAGAAAGAATATGTTTGGCCGTACCTTGCAGTGGTCTCCCTCAAGGAAGAAAAAGAGAAAGGGAGAACGAGAGAGAGAGATGCGGTATATAGGTCGTACCTTGTAGTGGCCTCCCTTGTAGTCGCTGCCCTTGTGTGCCTTGAAGTAGGTATCGAGGTCGTCGTAGTTGCTGTGGTACTTCTTTTTGTCGCTGTCGTCGTAGAACTTCTTGGTGTGGCCGTACTCCTCCTTGTGGTACACGTTCTTGAAGCCCTGCGAGGAACCAATTTTTATTAGTGGTTATGATATGCACTTTCTCGAGGCCCTACGTGAAGCTTTAACGTCATAACAAATCATAATCTATATGATCCGAAAGCCCTGCGAGAAAGAGAAAAAAAATAGCTTGTAGTTGTTAACTAACGAGTTTTCTATCCCTCTCTGGCATATAGCGATCCACGCTGGCTCAGAAGGTCGTTCCACGGCTCTGCAGAATGAAGCGCAAGGAAACAAAATATTTCAGCACATTTGAAATCGTGAAGCTTTCTCTATCTGCATTTTACTTCCAAAGTGCATTGATTCAGGTAGTGTAGGCTGGAATTCTTGCCGTATTTTCATGTATAAGAAGCTTACATACCGATTTTACCACAGGTCTAAGTTGAGAGGATTTTATCCTAAGTTGAGAATCCTCCGCAGGATCCAAGTGAGGGAACAAGGCTCGCGACGTGTCATAGGAAATCAATTTACATTTTAATGAAATATACTGGTGATCGTAAAGCCACAGATGGGGACTGGGAGGATCCCAGGCGAGCGGGTTCGAGTATTCCACATAAGATTAAACCAAATCCCTTTTGCACTTGGCATAATTCACGAGGATTTCGAGGAAATTCCCACCATCTCTTTCTGTAAACCCTTTAAAACCTTTGTAGACAAAGCCGCACAAAAATCCAATAGCGAATATATATGAATTAGAATCAGAACTACCATTTTGCAATTTAGAAGTGGAATATAATTGATCATGAGTCTTCAGATTTTCTCAAAAGGTAATTTGGATCTCCACAGGGAAAGCAAAGGCAAACATCAGGTGCAATTTATATTTAGTGTAATGGAAAGAACACTGACCTTGTCCTTGTGACCTTTCTCGTGATGACCCTTGGAGCCGTAATGGTGACCCTTCCCTCCCTTCTTGCCGCTGTGGGCGTCGCCGTAGTACTTGTGCTTGTCGTCGTGGCCCTTGTAGTGCTTGCCATGGTCGCCATGGTAACCCTGGTGAGGGAAGGAAATCGTTGAAATTTACCATAAGATTTTTTTTTCTCTCAAAAATGCTTTGTTATTGCGGTATTACCTATTTCATTAATAATAATACTAATAAATGAATAAAGGACGCGGTTCTCACACTATAGTGTGCCTTGCCGTGGTCGCCGTAGTGGCTGCCCTTGTGGCCCTTGTCAGCGTGGTATCCCTGGTGGCCCTTGTAGCCTCCCTGGTCATAGTGGGAGCCTCCGTAGCCTCCGTGTCCCTTGTGGGAACTTCCGCCTCCGTAGCCTCCGTGTCCCTTGTGGGAGCTTCCGCCTCCGTAGCCTCCGTATCCTACAGGACGTCAGGGAAGGAAACAGCTGTAGACAGCTTAGGTGATTTTTCTTCCTAACGGCAGGATTTTGACCGTCATGCCATGGTTTCCTTTATGAATACTTCGCAGAGTAGCAACAAAGATGTTATGATATTCGATGCATGAATAGAATGACAGGAGGAAAAACGGCGACACACAGACACAGCACTCCCCGTAGCAGAGGCTTGGAGGTCGTCCTTGGCCACGACGGACTGCTGGCTCTCCTGCGGAAGGTCGTCCTGGGGAGGGACGGCCTCCTCTCCGCTCCCCCTTGACGGAGGGCGACAGTGCCACCGCCATCAGCACGGCGGCGTTGAAGATCTGACGGCCATGACACCAAAGCGTTAATTTTGTCTTGCATTTTCTTATCTGCGTTATACGGATTTTATCTGCACACACACACATAATATATATATAATATATATATATATATATATATTATATATATATATATATATATATATATTATATATATATATATGCAGATATGCATATTCAATATATATACATATATATTCGTATACGATGTCTTTAAAGAAAATGAAAGCTCTTGACATTGACAAAGAGAGAAAGAATGAGAGTGAAAGGAGAGAATAGAGATAGTGAGATACAGACAGACATAGAGTGAGAGTGGAAGGAGAGAGTGGGTGACAGACAAACCAAATCCCAAAGCAGACGCACCCATCCACCGCGCTTCATCTTCGGTTCCTCCGGGAGATCCGAGCGAGAGAGAGTCACTCAAGGGTCGAATCACGACTGACTCTCTGCGCTTTCCGGCTCGCCTTTATAGCGACTCTTCCGAGGCTACGCGACTCACTTGCAACATCTCGGTGACACGCACTTTGCGAAGCTTGTGTCTCCTACGAACGCTGTTTCAAGGCAGGCGTTCAGTTTCACCTTCGTACGTTTCATTATTGCATTTCGTTGTTTCGAAAGATGGAATATATAATTCAACATATGATGAATATGTTGAATAGTATTGCCATTGGTTTTAACGTTTTAGCGATCATACACTATATAACATCACGACCATAGTGAGTAATACACAGCAATGTAGCCACATGAAAAAACTATATCTGGCACAACTGCATCTATATTTTGGTATTCCATTAACTTAAGACTACTTTTTTTCCTTAAGAACTCTCTTGGAATCAAAGCTGGTAGACGATTCCTCTGATATATAATCCAGAGAAATGATATATCTATAAGTAAATGCAGTTAAAATGATTAAGGAAAAAAAAATATTCTGCTAACACTGCGAAGAATATCAACCTTTTTCATATAACGAAAGAATTATTAATCAGTAAAACTATTGCAGTTTGATTAAATAAGATCATTATCTCTCTCTCTCTCTCTCTCTCTCTCTCTCTCTATATATATATATATATATATATATATATATATATATATATATATATATATATATATATGCAATGAAAAACACAATACCGTTTTGATAATATGGAATAAAACCCACAAAGCACAAACTAGATTTAATGATGAAAGTGAGACAACAGTTTCGGAATCGTCCTCGATTCCATCTTCGGGTCTGAAGATGGAATCGAGGACGATTCCGAAACTGTTGTCTCACTTTCATCAATAAATCTACATACTGACATACGATCGTAAACATATTTACCAGCGGTCACTTCGTTTATCAAAGACTATATATGAAAGATACGAAAGCACAAATCACACCATTGAGAAAATAAGGTCCAAAAATTCTTACAGCGCCATCTATTTTTCAGCTATTTAACTAAGAAATTCTTAATGAGGGACTATAGATTTATATAGGTTTTAATTTTTGTTTCAGGGTTAAAGGTTTAGTTTCAATTGAAATTTCGCATTTATTTAATAGGAGACAAAATCTTTTCATCAAAGAATTATATACATATCTATCTATCTATATATATATATATATATATATATACATTATATATATATTATATATATATATATATATATATATATAATTTACATGGAATTATGATTATTACATTCTTTAATGACTGTTTTTTATTAGGGAAGATTTTTTTTACATAAATCAAAATTAGGTTTTGCAGATTTTAGAATATGGTAATATAACATATCTAATGATTACCTCATGCGTATGCATATTTGCAAGGCATCATGAAATTATTCCATTGTTTATATAATATACAATTTTATTGCAGGAAATATCTTAAGTGTTAATGAAAGCAGACCAACAACTAAAACTGAACAGGAAGCATAAGACATGCAATAACATAAAACAATCCCTTTCCTACCATTTTGAATAAGTGACGTTTCACGATATTCACGACGAGACGACAGATCGCGTACACACCGCCATCTATTGTTCAGATATCACACTATCCGCCAACCGTTGGGGCTCGCAGACTTTTGCCATGCTTTCCTATCTTTCGCATATAGTCTTTGATCGCCGAGTGGGATTCACCAAGAGATGGTAACTCGCCTTGACACGAGTTGCAATTGCAAATCAACTCATTCTAATGGTAGCCAAAAGAGGGCTATAGTAAAGCAATTCCACCAAGCAACGAGTGCCAAGCATAATCTTTTAGCTTCCTTCGGCCAATAATGTAACATATAAGTAGATTTCGATACCTAGCCATTTGTGTAATTATGGTTGCAGCTAAAACACCATTTAAGCTTGTGTTCAAAATGTTGAATAAAGAATTGTTTAATTATATCCATCATGTAGGATGTTAACAGACTTCCCTGGCTACTTATCGTATAAATAGGAACTTATACACTTTTATAATAAATGACAATTTTATATAAATATATCAATGCTTAACATAAACCAGAGAAACACTCCAGACAATTTTTATTTGTTTATTCATGTTTCCTTTGTCAAACGAAGAGCAATTTTCATTTATCGCCATCTATCCTTAAACAAAGGAATATTTCAAACTCGTTCTTGTTTTGGAGTTGCTGTCTTTTGCCAGAGTGCTGACGGACACGAAAGTCGCAGAACTTGTTTAACGTTTCAATTGCCAGTATATGTATCAGTAAGTTAGCTTCTTCTATACAATTTATGAAACTTATGTAATAGAAGAATTGACTGATCTATCCATTCCATACACTGTACAGTCTGATATAGGCCTATGTCTACATATAGTTTTATATGAATTCGTGTTGATTTTATTCTTGCTATTTTCATTTGCATTTTTTTATCATATCCATGTCGTGATGTGTTTGCCAACATATTGTTAATGTCATTTATACAAACAACAACTTTGCTTAAATATAAGATTTAGACGAGATAATTTGTGATGACATCGTCTCCCCAAAAGTTACCAGCAGACTTACCAGTGCTCAGACAACTGGTAATTTTCCATAGTAACCCCTGTGGTAAGTTGTACAGATCGTAACTGTAGTTACCAGCGATTTTACCATCGTAAGAGCGTTAATGAACCTTGGCCCTGCATTGCTCTTTTTTTTTTACTTTTTAGGATTCCTCAAGTGTATTTCAATGCCTCAAACTTGTTCACCTAAAGGCGCGACTCAATTAGGATCCGACTTGTGTCCGAGTGGCCAGCCAGGCCTGGTATGTCAACTGCGAAAGCACCGCCGTAATAGACCGCACGTACGCGTCGCTTGAATAACACCGCGCATTGGACTTCTCGTTTGAGCAACATGGAGCATAAGGACTTATTCCGTTTCACTGTAGTTTCGTGTTTCAGGGCGTATACACACACACACACGCACACACACACACACACACACACACACACACACACACACACACACACACACATATATATATATATATATATATATATATATATATATATAAAGCAAGAAACACTGAAACCGATTTACTGCCATTTCACACCAAAGTGACGCGATTCGGCCCAGATAGCTGCGCTTACGGCAAGACAAGCTGAACCGCTTCTTCAGCTGTCATCCTTCAATTGTTTTTTGTTCCATTTTCACAGATTTTTGCCCGTTTTACTTGCGTCAGCAGAGTGTATCAAATTCCAAGTTCATTTAGAACTAGCAAAACATCAGATTATAGGATAATAAACCAATGATTGCAAAATCGGCTTTACTAGAATAAATACATCACTGTTCGTGAGCGGAAGCACCTATGTTTATATACAGGGCAGATCTCAGCAACGGGATCCAGGAGCCAGCGCGCCCGGCACAGGGCAGAGGGCGACGCACCGGGTCGGACTCACCGTCAGGGCCTCAGTGTCCTGCAAAGGCGAAGTTGCCGAAGGACTCGAAGCTCTTGGGCGCCGCCTGGTGGACGACCTGGACGGTGGAGTGGGCGCCGTAGCCTGGGGGAGGGGGGGAGGGGTCGTTAATGACACAGGGGAGAATGTTTCGAGTCGAAGTGGAGCTGGAATGAAGTAGCACACGCGCTTAAAATATGTGCATATTCGGACATATATGTAAACCTATGCATAATGCACATATGTTTATGTATGTTCATACATGATGTACACTTTATATGCGCGTGTGTATGTGTACATATAGTATATATATACTATTTATACACATTTATTTTGCATTTATTTTTACATTTTCATTCAAACATACATCCGTCCCAGATCTGAAAAATCATGCTTACCTCCGAGTCCATGACCATATCCACCATGGCCACCATGACCATAACCACCGCCATGGCCATATCCACTACCATGGTCACCGTGTCCATATCCGCCTCCGTGTCCACCATGGCCATACCCTTTATGATCATCGTGACCATAATGAGCTTTGTGTCCACCGTGGTCGCCATAGGAACTCTTGTGGCCATAGTGGCCCTTGTCTCCGTAGTGGCCATCGTGGCCCGCATGGTCGTCGTGGTATTTGCCCTTTCTCGTGGTGCCCCTTGTGGCCATGGGCATCGTGATGGTGTCCGCCCTGAAACAGAGGTGGAAAAAGAGTACGAATCAGATTTTATGGATTCAGAATGACCATAAGAAATAATCCAAAAGGAAACAGATTTATCGACTGCAGCCGTCAATCATTCACGAGTAAAACTTGTACTAAAGTGATGATAGCATATCTACATGGCTGTACTAAGTTAATATGATAATAATTATAATGGAATCACTGTAAAGAACGTAGTCATTCATATTATAATTGAAAGAAAGAATAGTGTGTTTGGCAGTAACTTGCAGTGGTCTCCCTCAAGAAAGAAAAAGAGAGAAAGGGAGAACGAGAGAGAGAGACGCGGTATATGGTCGTACCTTGTAGTGGCCTCCTTGTAGTCGCTGCCCTTGTGTGCCTTGAAGTAGGTATCGAGGTCGTCGTAGTTGCTGTGGTACTTCTTTTTGTCGCTGTCGTCGTAGAACTTCTTGGTGTGGCCGTACTCCTCCTTGTGGTACACGTTCTTGAAGCCCTGCGAGGAACCAATCTTTATTAGTGGTTATGATATGCACTTTTTCGACGCCCCACGTGAAGCTTTATCGTCAGAAGAAATCATAATCTATAAGATCCGAAAGCCCTACGAGGAAAAAAAATAACTATTAGGTTGTAGTTGTTAACTAACGAGTTTTCTATCCCTCTCTGGCATATAGAGATCCACGCTGGCTCAGAAGGTCGTTCCACGGTTCTGCGGAATGAAGCGCAAGGAAACTGAAAATATTTCTGCACATTTGAAACCGTGAAGCTTTCTCTATCTGCATTTTACTTACAAAGTGCATTGATTCAGGTAGTGTAGGTTGGAATTCTTGCCGTATTTTCATGTATAAGAAGCTTACATACCGATTTTACCTCAGATCTAAGTTAAGATCTGGGAATGAACACTTTTCGCAAAGAGGATTATATCCCGTGATCTATTTTGAGAATCCTCCACAGGATCCAAGTGAGGGAACAAGGCTCGCGACGTGTCATAGAAAATCAATTTGCATTTTAATGAAATAAACTGGTGATTGTAAAGCACACAGATGGGGACTGGGAGGATCCCAGGCGAGCGGGTTCGAGTATTCCACATAAGATTAAACGGGAGGAACTACCTAATACCTTTTGCACTTGGCATAATTCACGAGGATTTCGAGGAAATTCCACCATCTCTTTCTGTAAACCCTTTAAAACCTTTGTAGACAAAAGCTGCACAAAAATCCAATAGCGAATATATATGAATTAGAATCAGAGCTACCATTTTGCCAGTTAGAAATGGAATATAATTGATCATGAGTCTTCAGACTTCCTCAAAAGGTAATTTGGATCTCCGCAGGGAAAGCAAAGGCAAACATCAGGTGCAATTTATATTTAGTGTAATGGAAAGAACACTGACCTTGTCCTTGTGACCTTTGTCGTGGTGACCCTTGGAGCCGTAGTGGTGACCCTTCCCTCCCTTCTTGCCGCTGTGGGCGTCGCCGTAGTACTTGTGCTTGTCGTCGTGGCCCTTGTAGTGCTTGCCATGGTCGCCATGGTAACCCTGGTGAGGGAAGGAAATCGTTGAAATTTACCATAAGATTTTTTTTTCTCTCAAAAATGCTTTGTTATTGCGGTGTTACCTATTTCATTAATAATAATACTAATAAATGAATAAAGGACGCGGTTCTCACACTGTAGTGCGCCTTGCCGTGGTCGCCGTAGTGGCTGCCCTTGTGGCCCTTGTCAGCGTGGTATCCCTGGTGGCCCTTGTAGCCTCCCTGGTCGTAGTGGGAGCCTCCGTAGCCTCCGTGTCCCTTGTGGGAGCTTCCGCCTCCGTAGCCTCCGTACCCTACAGGACGTCAGGGAAGGAAACAGCTGTTGACAGCTCAGGTGATTTCTCTTCCTAACAGCAGGATTTTGACCTTCATGCCATGGCTTCCTTTATGTATACTTCGCAGAGTAGGAACAACGTTGTTATGAGATTCGATGCATGAATAGAATGACAGGAAAAACGGCGACACACAGACAGCACTCACCCGTAGCAGAGGCTTGGAGGTCGTCCTTGGCCACGACGGCCACCTGCTGGCTCTCCTGCGGCAGAAGGTCGTCCTGGGCAGGGACGGCCTCCTCCCGCTCCCCCTTGACGGAGGGCGACAGTGCCACCGCCATCAGCACGGCGGCGTTGAAGATCTGACGGCCATGACACCAAAGCGTTAATTTTGTCTTGCATTTTCTTATCTGCGTTATGCAGATTTTATCTGCACACACACACATACATATATATATATATGCAGATATATATATTCAATATATATACATATATATTCGTATACGATGTCTTAAAAGAAAATGAAAGCTCTTGACATTGACAAAGAGAGAAAGAATGAGAGTGAAAGGAGAGAATAGAGATAGTGAAATACAGACAGACATAGAGTGAGAGTGGGTGACAGACAGAGACCAAATCCCAAAGCTGACTTCAGCCAAAGTCTCGCAGACGCACCCATCCACCGCGCTTCATCTTCGGTTCCTCCGGGAGATCCGAGCGAGAGAGAGTCACTCAAGGGTCGAGTCACGACTGACTCTCTGCGCTTTCCGGCTCGCCTTTATAGCGACTCTTCCGAGGCTACGCGAGTCACTTGCAACATCTCGGTGACACGCACTTTGCGAAGCTTGTGTCTCCTCCGAACGCTGTTTCAAGGCGGACGTTCAATTTCACCTTCGTACATTTCATTATTGATTTGCATTGGTTTAAATAAATATGTAATTCAATATATTTTGAAAATACTGATTATTATTGCCATTCGATTCAATGTATTAGCGATCATGTACTATGGTCTGATGCCAATTGCCATACTGAATAATTCACAGCAATGTAACCCATGAAATAATATTCATATCTGGCATAACTGCGTAACATGCCATACACCAGGCATACTTCTGAGACAAAGTTTGTATTACCTGATTTCAATTGTTGAAAAATGTATTCTTAACCAAAGCTGGTAGAGGGTTCATTAGCAATGTTAATGGAGATCTTTCTCGGTTTCTTCAAGAGTATATCATATCGCGCCTGAAGTATCGACTGGACATTGAACATCTCGAAAAAAATCTGAGTCAAGTAGGAGTGACCCCCCCCCCCCCAATGGTTTTTAGATATATCTTAATTGGCTCTTGTCTTCTATTTTTCTCCGTTGCGTGATTCTCGCAAAACAGGGTCAATGTAACCCAGTTTCTCTTTATATATGATATAGATATGTTTATCGATGTTGTAAATTAAGTTTGATATCACTTTAAAGTCAGTGAAAATGACCCATTCAGTGAAATTATACCATGACAACTTTAACTTTTTAGGCATGTAAATTCACCATAACCCTATGAATGTTAATAGATGAATTTAAACAATCTATTAGATAAAAAGGAAAATGTATTCCAAGTCAGAGGTTTGCCTATTCAGATTTTCAACCATGTTCATTGTACCGTCAGGATATATCAGCCTCGGTTCTTGTTTCGTCTTCTCATCACTCAAAAAAATACATTAGTTATTTTCTTAACTTTTGGCCATTCAGGCTACAAGTTTCCATATCAAAAAATAGTAAAGGCAGAGCACCGAGGGACTTCTTTCAACAGAAGACTTGGAAAGTTTGTCACTTCGACAGCACGAGGCAGAAGGCGAAGGGGTGACGAACCAATCAGCGCACGGTCACGCGCCACTCCCAGCCAATCAGCGAACAGATCGGTCACTGGTCTCCCTCTCCCACCAGTGTTATGGGTATACACTGCATTTACTTTTTTATATTCATTATTGGGGTAACTTTAACTACATTTTGCTTCCATAACTACGTTCTGCTTCAAGGTGAAGGCACCAAGGATTCGCGACCATTATGTCGCTTGTGAGCGAATGTGAGCGCCATTGTTGTAAATTGCATTTACTATATCTATCTATCTATAGATAGATAGATATAGATATATTTGTATGTATATATATATAAGTATAAATGTATATGTATATATATATATATATTATATTATATATATGTATATATATATATATATATATATATATATATATATATATATATTATATATATATATATATATATATATACATATACATATATATATATATATATATATATATATATATATATATATATATATATATATGTGTGTGTGTGTGTGTGTGTGTGTGTGTGTGTGTGTGTGTGTGTGTGTGTGTGTGTGTGTAGGCCTATATATATACATACATACAGATAGACCAACACGCACACACGCACACACACACACACACACACACACACACACACACACCACACACACACACACACACACACACACACACACACACCACACACACACACACATATATATATATATATATATATATATATATATTATATATATATATATATATATATATGTATATATATATATGTATATATATATACATATACATACATACACACACATATATATACATATATGTGTGTGTGTGTGTGTGTACGTGTGTGTGTGTATGTGTGTGTGTGTGTGTGCGTGTGTGTATACATATGTACACACAAATACACACACATATATATATACATTTATATGTGTGTGTGTGTGTATAATATATATTTGTGTGTGTGTGTGTATGTAAGTATGTAAGTATATATATATATATATATATATATATATATATATATATATATATATATATATATATAATATATATATATAAACGTACATACTTTATATGGCCCCGACTACTATCTAGGTTAAGTATACAAACATGTACAGTATATGCATATGAACACACACACACACACAGACACACACACACACACACATATATATATGTGTGTGTGTGTGTGTGTGTGTGTGTGTGTGTGTGTGTGTGTGTGTGTGTGTGTGTGTTCATATGCATATACTGTACATGTTTGTATACTTAACCTAGATAGTAGTCGGGGCCATATAAGATATCAAGTTATGACCATATTATCCGTCTACTCATAATAGATTGATGACAAAAGATGACAAAATAGCCAAGGGATAGATTCTGGAATTCAAAAGCAGAGTTAGATCCACTATACGCAACATGTAAATGCAATAAGTGCGTGCATAACATGTGGTTTCGCGTACTTGAATTTTTTGCATACATGTTTCGCGTACTTGAATTTTTCGTACCATTTGTATCGTTATAAAGGCGCCCCTAAGCGCAAGATCCACAGAAAGCGTTCATGCCCTTTCGTCTGCGTAACCCTTCCTTTTCGTTAGGTAAGAGCAGCGTCGCGTGAAGATTTCCGGATATTTCCCCAGCTTTTTTAGAGTCATTTCACGCCTCGAGGCACTTCACAGGGGCAGAGGGATTGCGCCGAGGTGAGGGGGAAAGCGCTCCGAGGTGGGGAGGGGGAACTCTCGAGGTGAGGGGAAAGCGCTCCGAGGTGTGGGGGGGGGGACTCTACGAGGTGAGGGGAAACGCTCCGAGGTGGGGGGGGGGGAACTCTACGAGGTGAGGGGGAAACGCTCCGAGGTGGGGGGGGGAGAACTCTACGAGGTGAGGGGGAAACGCTCCGAGGTGGGGGGGGAGAACTCGAGGTGAAACGCTCCGAGGTGGGTGGGGGGGGGGACTCTACGAGGTGAGGGGAAACGCTCCGAGTGGGGGGGGGACTCTACGAGGTGGGTGGGGGGGGGACTCTACGAGGTGAGGGGGAAACGCTCCGAGGTGGGGTGGGGGGGGGGGACTCTACGAGGTGAGGGGAAACGCTCCGAGGTGGGTGGGGGGGGACTCTACGAGGTGAGGGGGAAACGCTCCGAGGTGGGTGGGGGGGGGGGGACTCTACGAGGTGAGGGGGAAAACGCTCCGGGGTGAGGTCGATGAGAGGAGGAGGAGGGTGTGTTAAACCTCGTGTGGGGATTTCGTTTCTGGAAGGATGTGTATGTAATTCGGATGCAGACGGTTTCTGCCATGGAGGCTTTCCAGATTTTCGTGTGTGTGTGTGTGTGTGTGTGTTTATGGGTGTTTTTTGTGTAAATGAGTGTAATTCTTTATCATATGTCTTTAGTGTGTGTATGTGTGTGAATGTATGCACGTGTGCGTATGTTTGAGCTTCACATAAATTTCCTTGGGGCATAATGCAACCTGAATCACAGAAAAACATCCCTCCCTGAAATTCCTCTAATCCCGCTCGAAGCCCGGGTCGTTTTCCACCAGGTGCAGGCAACAAACCAACGGTTACAAATAGAGAGTTTTCAATCATTTCAATTCAGGCCAGCGCAGGGGCACGAGGGGATAAGAGGGAATAATTCTTCCCAAAATGGTTTAAACTCGCCTGAACAGAGAAGGGTCTTTGTTAAAGGAAATTTGTATATTTTTCAATAATCCGTTGAGTTCCAAAAGACCAATAGGACCTTTGAGGTATCTGTGCTACAATATTTCCCGGTAATGATTTTGATCAAAGACAGTAGTTATAGTTGTAAGAAGAAGATATATCATTCAGAAATAATCATTTCCATGATGTATTTATAGAATTCAGTGCAATGCCCTTTGAAAAAGATGTGAGTGGCAATAGATATAAATTGAGACGCGAAATCAAAATTACAGTATCATGATCTTCGTCAAAATCAAACTTCTTGGTTTGTGGAGCCAACCATTCCCACTCACGCCTTTTTTATAAAGAGGAAATACCATGTTACCACTATTATATAACCGAGATGTCGGTAATCTGTCCTTATTCTAGATCTAATCATAATTATTCTCATTCGAACTTCTTTCACAAACTGTTTTATCTGAAGACATGAACACTGGGACACCTTTGCACCCCGATGCATCTCATGAATAATGATGATTAGATCTAATTATGAGAAGTTAATTAAACACTCC